CGGCGAGGCGTTTGCGCAGTGCGCAGGCTCTGTGAGCTGAGTCCCTAGGGCTATTGGGTAATTCCAAGTGATGTTTGTGTAGGAGCCAGAGGGTGAGGGCTCAGGCTACGTATGGAAGATTGATAGTTGGCGGTGTCTACAGAGCATTTACCCCTTCATGTCTAATGCCATACTCACCCTCTGAGCTGGAGCTTTGACAGAGGGGGAACTGAGTTAGCACACTGCGGATCTGGGTCCCCCCTTTGAGTTGTCAGGCTTTCAGTGGATGCACCAGCCTGGATATTCTTCTGAGGACAGGAGGGGAGCAGGAGACAGGGAAGAGGCCATGTTCTGAATGTGTCCAGACCTCAGTTTCTCCACAAAAATGATGAAGAGATTGTATCTGCAATCCCAACGGCCTATTCCAGGGCTTGTCGGCTAGGCTGGTGCTCTGCTGCTGAGCCACGCCCCCAGCCTTTAGTTCTTGTCTTCTAGATGGGGCAGGGGATGGGTACCTGGCTTCTACCATCCAGATCGATGGACAGGAAAGGGGTCTAAAGGAGTCGCAGCCCAGGGTGAGAGGGACCTTCGGTGTCATTATCGAGGAGGAAGCTGCAGATTCTCAGGCCCAGCATCCCACCCCACCCCCATCCCATACACCACACACCATGGGCCCTGGAGCTGTTTACTGCTCAGGAGAGCACTCCATCTCTCTCCAAAGCTGCACTGGAAAATAACAACTGGGCAAGGTCCAGCTGCTCTGCCAGCTCACAGCCCAGCGCTGGACAGGACCCAGCCCTGGACACCCACGCCAAGGCCAGTGTGTGGGCTGAGGGCATTAAGGCTGGCTGCTGTCTGGGTGGGTTTAATGGGAAGTGGGAAGTGTCTGAGATACTAAAACCCTCAGCTCTCAGAGCGGGGAGGACCCAGGGCAGCCTTGTGTTCTGTGTCAGCCATATGTGTTATACCTTCTGTGGATGCTGTGATATATGAGGGCAAAAAAGTTGGCAGAACCAGGCGCCGTGGCTCAAGTCTATAATCCAAGCTACTTGGGAGGAGGAGTAGGGGCTCACAGGTGGAGGTCAGCCACAGCACAACATGTTGTGAGACTTCATCTCGACCAGTGGGTGGGCACGGTGGTGCATGCCTGTTGTCTCTGCTGCAGGGGAAGCAGGATGGCTGGGTGCTGTAGCATGTGCCTGCCATCCTCCATGACAGGGGGAAGCATAAACAGGAGGATTACAGGCCAGGGTTGCCTGGGCATAAAGCAAGCTTCTACCTCAAAAGCATAACCTGTTCAAAAGAGGGGCTGAAGGTGTGGCGCAAGTGGTAAGTTCAGGAGCTTTGCCCTTGGTATTAGACGCTTGTTCCTTTCAAGAGTCCTAGCAGGACATGTGGCTGTCTCATTTCCTTGCTTTTCTGTTGTTGATCTCTTCACTGAACATGTGAGCTTCACAGGGGCTACAGAGAGATCTTTTATTCATTCCCAGCCCAGATAGCAATGCCTGGCACAGAACACACTGCATATGCCAGGAACCTTTGGCTTATGTTTATAATTCTAACTACTCAGGAGGTTGGAGATCTGAGGCTTGAGGCTCAAAGCCACCCCAGACAGAAAAATTCCCTGAGACCCTCATCTCCACTTAACCAGCAAATAGCTGAAAGCAGAGCTGTGGTTCAGATGGCAGCATACCAGCCTTGAGCTAAAAAGCTAAGTGACAGGGACAGTCCCAGAGTTCACACACACACACACACACACACACACACAGAGAAAACACTGAATAAATGTTTGCTGATAATGCACTCGTGCACCTGTGTACACATGCATGGAATGAGTGCACATATCTAGCACTAAGTAGCTGCTTATGAACACCAGCTTACTCTCTGGAAGTCATTCCTATAGGTAGCTTGGGGTTGCTGAGGCCAGTCCCTTAGGAGAGGGGCACTGGAGGGACTGGAGGGGGGATGGGAGGACAGGAAGGGGGTGGGAGACAGATGCTGACAGGAAGTAGGGGGCAGGCCCGGAAGAAGGGGCGGTCAGGTGAAAGGTGTTTGTTAATCTCCTGGCTATTGTAGAAGCCAGGACAGTGCTGCTAGCTCCAGTGGGGCCTTGGGCAAATAGATCTGCAGACTATGTTCAGCCATTTCCTCACCTGCCAGCCGGGCAGCCCTCCTCTTGCCAGTGCCTGCCTGCCCCACCAAGGCTTTCTTTTCTTTCCATTCTTTTTTTGATAATAGCTAGGATTGAACTCAGGGTCTTACCTTGCTAGATAAGCACTCTACCGCTCCCATGCTTCCAAAACCCTTTGGCATTTTAGTTTTATTTATCAGATAGGGTTTTATACTTTCATCAGGCCTCAGAATGAAATCCTTCTGCCTCTGCCTCCCAAGTAATTGGGACTACAGGCTCCGATACCTGGATCCTGCTCATTTTCTTTCTTTTTTCTGACAGTACTGTGTGATTTGAACTCAATACCTTGCAGTTGCTGGGCAAGGGCTCTACCACTGGAGTCACAACCTCAGCCCTGGTTATTTTCTTAAAAGTCCTAAAGGAGGCCTTTTATTATTTCTCCTCCTCCTCCTCCTTCTCTTCCTTCTCCTCCTCCTCCTTCTTCCAGATTCCCTTCTTCTGGAGGAGAGATGCACCAGGGCATTACAAGTTCTGCCCTAAGTAACCTTAGGTCTGGAGACTGTCCTCCCACACATAGTCTATGGGCCCTGGATGGCGGGGGGAGGAAGGGCATCCTTCTTTTGGAACCCTCCCGGGAGTGGGCGGGCTTCAAGGCAATGAAAGGCAGCGCCCAACACCTTCCTGTTCTTTCCCCTGCAGGTACAAGACTGTGGTGACCCCGCGAAGGGCAGCCGTGGCCATCGCTGTCTGCTGGATTCTCTCCCTCCTGGTGGGCCTGACCCCTATGTTCGGCTGGAACAACCTGAGTGAGGTGGAGCAGGCCTGGGTGGCCAACGGCAGCGCGGGGGAGCCGGTGATCAAGTGTGAGTTTGAGAAGGTCATCAGCATGGAGTACATGGTCTACTTCAACTTCTTCGTGTGGGTGCTGCCGCCGCTGCTCCTCATGGTTCTCATCTACCTGGAGGTCTTCTACCTGATCCGCAAGCAGCTCAACAAGAAGGTGTCCGCCTCCTCAGGCGACCCTCAGAAGTACTATGGCAAGGAACTGAAGATCGCCAAGTCGCTGGCCCTCATCCTCTTCCTCTTTGCCCTCAGCTGGCTGCCGCTGCACATCTTGAACTGCATCACCCTCTTCTGCCCCACCTGTCAGAAGCCCAGTATCCTCATCTACATCGCCATCTTCCTCACGCACGGCAACTCGGCCATGAACCCCATCGTCTATGCCTTCCGCATCCACAAGTTCCGGGTCACCTTCCTGAAGATCTGGAACGACCATTTCCGCTGCCAGCCCGAACCTCCCATCGACGACGATGACCTCCCTCAAGAGAAAGCTGATGACTAGACTGTCCTCTGCGCCTGGCGGCTCAGCCCAGCCCTGTCCCCACTGGCCCACGGGTCCTCCCGAGCCTTTCCCCAGCTGGCTGGTGGGCAGTGGGCGCTGGGAAGGATGCTGAGAGGAGCTCACGGAGCCGGCCCCCCTCCACAGGGAGCGAGCTGCCCTGCACCTCGGGGTGCGAGGGAGGTTTGGGAGGGCAGGCCGTGATGAGGCGAGAGCAAAACGTGCGGATCCCCTGCCTCTGCCTGGCCATCTCAAGAGCAGCCTAGCACCTCAGGGTGAGCAGGTCCTAGAGGCCTGTCTGTGGAGGAGCCAATGAGTGAGTTTCCACAGGGGAGTCACTCATGGTCGGGGGTGGTAACCCAGGGATCAAACATGAGGATTGCTTCTGAGATGAAGGAATGGAGGAGACTGGGGATGTCCTGGTCTTGCTTTCTCTCCTGGAGCAGCGAAGGGTCAGGAAGCAAGTAGCTTCAGTTCCCACCAGCAAGGATTCTGCACCTATCTCTGGCCATGCCGGTGCACACCTTGCTCTGAACAGCCCGGGCGTGATGCTTGGGAGAGGCAGCAAGAGGAGTCCAGAGATCATTTCTCACATCTGCCCTTGAACTCCCAGAAAGGCTTCTGAGCCCCGGGCAATGAGTGAGGTATGAGAAGTGCTGATCTCAGTCACTAGGGGGCAGCACTGAGTCCTCCTTCTTGGCCTTTCAAATTGTCACCTGGGCCACCTAGCTCCACTAGCCCTTGGTGACAGGCCTGGATGCTACTAGCTGACATGGTCTCTGCTGCTGCTGGGTCCAATGGAGAGAGCCCAAGTCATCCCAACCCTGGGGAGTCCTCTGAGGCCTGGGGAGGAGCTGACTGGCTACTCCTGGGCTGGGTGTGGCAGGTGGGACCAGGCCAGTGGAGATCAACTCCAGACAATGTGGGAAGAGGCTTGCCAGCCGAAAGTGAAATATTCTAAATGTCCCTGGTATTTAGCTCAGTTTTCAAGGGCTCTGGAAGCTCTGTTATAGACTATGCTTAGGCCTGTAGGGGTCTGGGCTAGGAGCACCCCCTACCCTGACAAGCCTGGATCCCCCATGTGGAAGGCAGGCAGGAGAGGGAGGGACTGTTAGACTGACAGGTCCTGAGTGTGAATAATAACTCCAGGCCCGGATTCCAGCCTCTACCCTCTGTTGGAGTGTGGTGTCCCTGGCTCTCAAGGGAGTCCCATGTGACTAATAAAAGACTGTGAACCCTCATGGCAAGCAGACCCCTGGCGTCTACCCCCGTCGCTGGCAGAGGGTAACAGATGACCTCAGCTGAGTGGGGGGCGGGGAGAAGACGGGGAGGTTGGGGGAATGTGGTCAGAGCAAGGAGGCTTCCCAAAGAGGGCACATCTATTGTCTGTCGCTACCTGGGGTAGTAAACTCTGAATCCGGGAGCAAGATTCAGGCCATTCACACGTCCAAGAAATGCCCCAGGGCATCTTGAGACCCTTTCACCGGCCCCTTCCCATGGTGGCACATTCAAACACCTCCTTCGCAATGACACTGCCACAGAGCCCCGCGCTGTAACGCCACACACCTTTATTTGAGTGCTTCTCACCCAGCACGCAACTCTGCAGGGTGCTCCAATCCCTGTGCTTTGGGGACCATCTTGTACCCACAAGGCCTGGCCTGTGACCTGCCAAGCACACTCCTGGGATTCTGGACCCCAGCCTCTGGCAGAGGGAGGCTAGCAGGTACCAGGAGCCTGCTAGCATCAGCCGTTGCTATGGAGATCTTGGCATCTGTACGGTTTGACTTTAAGCCAGGGGAATCGATCCTCAGGCCTGCAGGACCTGGTGAGAACATGCGTGAACTCAGACACGTGCCACAAGAAATGTCTAGGAGTCCCTTTTCCCTTCCTAGGCTACCCTCCCTCAGGCCCAGTGCCCAGGGCTGAGCTGTGTCCTTCACAGTTCTAGAAACTTCCTGGCTTATCCGGAGCCACAGAACCACCAAGCCAAGGGAGGAGGGCTGGTGTCCCCACTTTCCTGCTGAGGAAGCAGGCTCATGCTGATGGTCACTCAGCGCAAGGATTAAAACCTATTCTGTGCCCGTTGGCTGTGCCATCTGCTTCCAGACCTCGTCCGCATCACCCCGCCCTGCGTGGGCACTTGGAGACTCTGGAATGCACGTTAGTTGTCTGTGATGGCAGATTGGTCCCATTGCCTCGCGCCTTCCCATTCTGCCCCACCCCTGTCCCTGCCTCTCCCACGCTTCCCCTAGCAGTAGCAGGGGGTCCAGACACTTACTGTCTCCTCATCCTAGCCTCCTTCTGTCCTGGCTCTTCAGTGTGTGGCTGAGGCTGGAAGAGAGCCTACAGATTAGAGCTTGGGGAAGATAGGAGCAAACAGGAAGGTTCAAGGTCCCAGGACACAGCACCCGTGGGCCACTTTCTCATCAGGAAAGTTATTCGCTCAGGTTGACTGCCATCCTTACTACCTCTTCCTTCCTGCTTTACTTTTTATTCATGGTGGTAGTGGGGCTTGAACTCGGGACCTGAGCACTGTCCCTGAGCTCTTTGGCTCAAGGCTAGCACTCTACCCCTTTGAGCCACAACACCTCTTCTAGTTTTCTGGTGGTTAACTGGAGATAAGAGACTCATGGATTTTCCTGCCTGGGCTGGCTTTGAACCTCAATCCTCAGATCTCAGCCTCCTGAGTAGCTAGGATTACAGGCATGAGCCACCAGCTCGCAGCTGCCTTATAGTTTTAACATTTTGCTATGCCTCGTCCAGTTCTCAAGAGGGTGAAGGTGGGGGTGCTGTCTGGGGTGGGGGGAGGTGTGCCTGGAGAGTGACTCCGTCTCTCACCTTTGACCTCCAGCCGGCAATCCACGGATGCTTCCCCCAGCACATTGATGGCCTTGCAGGTATAGACCCCGGAATCAAAGGGACTGGGTCTCCGGATCTCCAAGGTGCAGATGCCTTGGTCAGAGAGGGCACGGTACTTGGGGTCGCCCTGGATGTTCATCTTATTTTTCATCCAGATGATCTTGGGCTGGAAGTGCGGTCAGAAGAGGTACAGTGAGTTGGGGTGGGGGGGGAGGGGGGGAGGGCGGGGAAGGGGGGAGGAAACGGGCTGTGCAGATGGGGACCTGGCTCCCACGGGCCATCCCCAGGTCTAGGTGGGGACGCCAGGGGGATCTGTCCACTGTGCTGACCCTGCTTCCCCTCCAGCCCAGGGCCCCTCACCTTGGGTGATGCTCGCACACTACAGAAGAGCTGAGTGCTGTATCCGGGCGTGGAGGTGTGGTCAGCCAGAGGCTGAGTGAACGAGGGGGCTTCTGAGAAGTCTCGTTCAACAAGCCCTTGAGGTTTGGCAGCGACATCTGGGTTCAGGGGGAAAGCTGGTTTTATAGAGGTAGAGGAAGACAGGCATGGTCAAGTTGTGGTTACTAAGAATGTCAAAAAAGTAGAAAGTGGGGTGGAGCAGGGGTGGGGTGGGGCGGTGAGCAGAGAGCCAGGTGGGGGTGGCCGGTGGAGACCAGAGCAGCATCTGCGACGTTTGTCTCATCTATGTGACTGGCTTATTATTATTGTTTTTGAAAACAAAAATGTCTTCCTAATTCTGTGGCATTAAAGAGCGCAGCTTCCAGTAAACCTCCGAGACCGGGCTGGGAAGTTGGCTCACTGGTAGAGTGCTTGCCTTGCATACCTGAGGCCCTGGGTTCGATTCCTCTCAGCACCACATAAGCAAAAAGAAAAAAGCTGGAAGTGGTGCTGTGACTCAAGTGGTAGAGCACTAGCCTTGAGCTGAAGAGCTGAGGGACAGCGCCCAGGCCCAGAGTTCAGGCCCCACAACCAGACCCAAAAAAAAAGAAACCTCCGAGACCCTGGGAAGGGGAGGGCCCAGATCTGTTACAGGATAGTAGAGAGAAGACTTGGAACTTAACATTGATCTGCAAGGACTAGGCACCGGTGGGAGGCAGTGGTAAATACCGGATCTCTCCTCCCATCTATATATGGTCTTGTCTTCTGGGCCGGGAGGTTAGTGCTCTTGCACACTAGCCAGTCTAACTATTGTGAACGCGTTGCCCCTCGTGGGCTAGGTCTCTGGGGACACTGCACCTGAGAGTCAAGGATGGGGGTGATATTGCCTCCACGTGCATCTTTAGAATACACACACTGCCTCCCAGGGGCTGCTGCTCATCTGCATGGGTCTGTTAAACTATCAGCCATGTGATTACTTTACACAGTGTGATTGTACGCATGCGTGCGCGTGCACACTATTGTGGCGTGGGAGGAGGGCAGCAAATGTTCCCAGCAAAGCCCCGAGCAGGGTTGTCCCACTGACGAAGATGCGGAGTCAAGGTGAGACTCACAGGCAATACTCCATCCCTGGCCTGGTTTCCCAATGGAGCCCAGACCCACCTGCCTTCTGGATGTGAGCCAGTTCCTTGGTGGTGGTGGCCGAGTCACTGAGGCCGCACAGGTTTTCTGAGAAGACCCGGAAGGAGTACGAGTTGCCCATGATGAGGTCAGAGATGGTGCAGCTGGTGGGGTGGTAGCGCTCCAGCACGGTGAACCATTGCTGTGGGGATCCTAGCCGTCACCCTCCGCTCTCCTCCACCCTCACCTCCCCGCTTCCCCTCAGGGGCTCCTGGTATGGCCTCATTCAACCCCAGCTAGGCCGGAACCATCCAAGCAAGGAGCCTGGAAGTGAGGAGGAGCTCCTGGGTCACTCAGGTGAGCTCTCTGGTCCTCAGGGTCCTAGAGCTTCAAGCTCCAAGTGCAGCTGGAAGATGTGTGCCCTCGGTGCCACCCAGATGTGTGCCCTCGGTGCCACCCAGATGTGTGATCTCAATACCACCCAGATGTGTGACCTCAATACCACCCAGATGCCCCTTGGAAATGCAGGTGCTCAACTGCCTGCAGAGTTCCCTGAATCAGAAACAAGCCAGCTGTGGGGTGGCTCACCCCCATAACCCTAGCTTCTCAGGAGGCCGAGATCTTTGGATCACAGTTCAAGCCAGCCTGGGCAGAAAAGTCTATGAGACTCTTATCTCCAGTTAACTAGCAAAATGCTGAATAGGAGGCATGGCTCAAGTAAGCAGAGCCAGCTTGAGGACCTGAGTTTAAAACCCCAGAAACAGTGCCAGAGCTCAAAAGGTCTCCCTGCAGACTTCAGAGGGAAACTGAGGCATGAACAATCAAGAGTCTTGCCCAGGTCCACACAGTCCTGAGCTTTGTGGTGGGACAGGCCTTTGCAGCCTCTCCGGCCACTTCTTCCCAGCCCCCAGCCCGCCTCACCCCTGACTTCTTGTCCGCCTTCTGCACCGTGTAGCCCAGAAGCTCCGTGTTGCCTGTGTCCTGGGGAGGTGTCCACTCGAGGTTCGCGTTGCAGCCCCAGACGTCTAGGACCTTGATGCTGCTGGGGGGTCCGGGCTTCTCTGCAGGACCAGAGTGGAAAGGGAGGCATGCGTGGAGCACAGTGCCCACACTAAGCTGACCCCTGCCATGCTCCCTCAAGCCCTATCCCAATCCTGTCAGCTAGTTCCTGGTGAGGCAGCCATGTCTCCCCTGGGCCCCGTACCAATCACCAGGATGTCAATGGCTGCCTTGGCCTCCAGGCCTTCCAGCCGCACGGTGAGTTCGTAGCGACCAGAGTCGGAGCGCTGGGCAGAGCGGATGAAGAGGATGGAGTCCTGGTCCCCGCTGCGCACATTCACCCGCTGGCTGTCCAGAGCATTGCCGTTGTGGGTCCAGGAGGCCTGAGGCTTGGGTTTCCCCTGAAGGAGGTATTGTTGTGGTGGGTACAGCAGCAGGTGCCAGCACCCCATTTCCTGCCCTCCAACACCCAGGGGTATCAGCTGGGCTGGAGCTACATATGCTGCCCAGAGCCATGTCCTTCCGGGACAACCTGCCTGTCCACAGCTTACAGCATGATGAAGGGTGTGTGTGTGTGGGGGGGTGAGCCCATTTAAGTGGTCCCAGTCAGGGTCCCCGTGGCAATTTCTGGGGCTCTCCTGGCGCCCCTCTGACTGGCAGGGCTTGGTGTTCCGCACGGGCAAGCCCACCTGGAAGGGGATTTGCAGATTGATTGCCTCTCCCACATGGCGGATGTAGGTCTGACGAAGGTGGCGGGGGACACGGATCTTGGGGTGTTCTGCATGAAAGAAAGCAAGAGCGGAGGGTTAGCACGGTGGTGGGACGGCGGGGCGGGGGCTTCTGAGGCAGGCGAGGGCTGCAGAGCTAGCAGGAGGGCCCCCGGGGGCACTGGGTCAGGCTCAGGCGCTCAGTGCTGTGATTGAGGGCCCCAAATCCTTTAAGGCCCCTGGGGAGCTGAGAGGCGAGAGGTTCCGGGGAGGTCAGGACCTCCGTGGTGTGAACCGGGAGGCATCTCGGGCACTCCCTTGGCACCTCAACCCTGCCAGGCTGGGATTTGTCCTGCAACCCAGGCATTCTCAAGCTCCAGATGGGCCTGCTGGCTCTCTGGCTCCCCCTGGAGGGAGGCAGGTGCTGCACCTGTCAGCCTGACAGCCCAGGGAAGCCATGAGGCTTCCAGCTTAATCCATCCCCTCTTCTCCCCCTCCCCCCAGCACAGGACTTTCAGAGAACTCTGAAACCTGCTGGCCCACGCCTGTGTTGGCCTGCCTAATCAAGGCCAGAGCAGGTGTGCCCCTATTCCTCTGCCAGTTTCACAGATGGCAAGTCCTTCTTGAAGTCCCGCCTCAGCCACCTGAGGTGGTGGGAACCATCTTCCCGACCATCACCTAATCAGGTGTCACTGGACAGTCCAACAAAAATGGCAGTCACCCCTGTCCCTGGGGGAGGGGAGAGTGCCAGGGCCGGGATGGAGCCTCCTCAGTGGCGAACAGGTGGCAGCAGTTGGTCATCGGCACACAGGGTGGAGGAGGAGAAGGTGGAGACAGTGAGAAGGAACACTGTGTCTCCAAGGATTAGCTGAGCAGGCACTTGGCAGGGGGAGCATCAGGCATGGAATGCTCCAGGGGCAGCTGCAGGGGGTCAGGAATGGCTGGCAGCTCCAGGTGGCCCAGGAGGGGACAGCTGAGGATCCTGGATAGGCCCCTGCCCTGCCCTGCCCTGCCCTGCCCAAGAGTCTGGCTGTTCCCCCACTTATTCACAGCCTTCTCCCCCCCCCCCACACCCTTTCTCTCCAGGAAATCCCCTACTCTTCTGCCAGAGGAATTTTAATGGTGAAGTGGGTGTTGAGGATGGCTGGCTCCTCCAGCACTGGGCTCTCTGGGGCTCTGGGGGACAAGGTCTGGGCTTTACCCAGGCAGCTGGAGTCCGTCCTGTCGTACTGTAGTTTTAGGTCCTGCAGCCTAGGTGGTAGGGAAAGACCTGGGGGACTTCAGAGTCTGGGACCATCATTGAAAGATGAAGTGACCTCAAGGGTGTCCCTGGGACCGTGGGGATCTGCTCATCCCCACCAAGACATGAGGTTCTAAAGCCTCAGGACTCTCAGGACTCCACATTTGACCCCTCCAGGGACCATGATACTCTCTCCTTCTGGGTACCTAGCTCAGAACTGTGGGACGTGGCAATCACCTTCCACCATCTGATTCCCTAGTGTGGGAACAAACAGGAAGATGGAGAAGGCCTCAGACCACCTGCTAGCCTGTGTCTCTCTTCACCCAGGGGCCCTGCCTTGTCCCCAGAGACCTGAGATCAGACCCAATGACTCACAGCCATTAACAGACTGAAACCTGATCGGCTTCGGGAGGGGAGCGAGGGTAAGACAGAGACTAATGCACCCTGCAAATAGAAATATTAGCAATAGGGTCAGCACCCAGGTCTCCTCTAAGGTGCCGGCCTTTGGGGATGGAAACGCCTTCATGGGCCCTTTATAGGCCCTCTTCTTCTTCCTACCGGGGTGATGGCACAGCGGTGGCCAGCTGGCCGCCTCTCTCTTCCAGAACCTTTGGGAGTATTGGAACTCAGGCCCCAGCAAATGGGCACAGGTGAGCTCCCAGGGCAGCTGGAGGGATGAAGACTAGACAAGGGGAAGAAGGGCAGATGGCCTCTTAGCGTGGGGACCGTGGGCCAGGTGAGCAGGGAAGCCCAGCTCCTGTCTCTGGCTGCAGATAGCTTTGGACCCTCTGGGAGAGGCGTCTGGTCTCCAGAGGCTCTGTGGTGCCAAGGAATGTGACCCTTTCTGAAGGCCAGGCATGTGGCTCGCCGGTCCTGCACCTATCCTGCTGCTTCTCCAGCGCTTGGGGCTGAGGGGAGGATTTACCGATAATCTCTTGGATGTGGACAGGCTTGTTCAGCACGGCCGGTGGCCCGGCCCCTGCAGAGCTCACTGCCGTCACCCGCAGCAAGAACTTGTCCCCAAGAGGCAGGTTCCGCACAGTCTGCTGGGTCACCATCAGGGGCCGGGCGTTCACGGGCACCCACTCGGAGGCTGAGGGGAGTGGAGAGCACGTGAGCTGTGGGGTGTGACGGCCAGGGCCCCCTGCTCCTCCGCGTTGATCTTCAGAAGTCTGCCTGGCTCTCAGGCCTTGATACCCCCTGGCTCCTCTTCCCTGACTTCTTAGTGTCTAATGACATAAAGGATAACCCGATGTTTGAGTGCTGGAATGGTGGGCAGAGAAGGGATTGCTGAAGCCCAGAGGGGACTGGACACGTTTATGAAGTCACACAGCAAGGTAGGACCTGAGGCAGAGAGCATGCCTGACTGTCACGGAAGAGGTCAGTAGCAGCAGAGATGGGGCCAGGCCCCCACGCCCTTCCCTATTTCTCTTCACTGTCTCCTATTACGTGCACCACCCCACAGTCCTCTGCTATGAGCTTTTTGCATTACCCTACCAAGCAGAGTCCCTCAGTACCCCGTACCCCCTTCCTTCCCTTCCCATCAGAGCATGCCCAGGGTCCCCCACCTTTCTGATACCCAGAGGCTCTCAGGAGCTTAAGGACCAGTGGCATTCTTGGGGTTACTGGATGTCAGGAGGTGGCCTGCATAGCTCCCTCTGCATCTCTGGGGTACCCCATCTGTGGGGGCCGGGCCCATCCCCTGCTCCCCTCTTAGCCCACCGAGGCTGGGCATGTGAAGGGCTGAGCCAGGTGCTCACCTCCCTCTCTGCAGAACTCCAGCACGTAGCCCTGGATCCCCAGCCGCCCCAGGTTCTCAGGGGGCTCCCAGCTCACAGTTACGGAGTTGGGGCTCACATCCTCCACGGTCAGCTGCAGGGGGGCGCTGGGGACATCTGGGGAGAAGCCAACGTGAGATACAGAAGTTCATGGCCAAGAGTCACTCCCCGCATGCCTGCCTCCCTCCCTCCTCCATCTGCCCTGCCTCTGGTCACCTTCGCTTGGAGGTGCAGGCTTAGTGGCCGCGGGGGCTGCCGGGGCCTCGGGGGCAGCAGAGGCCCCAGGCTCCGGATGCTGCTGCTCCCCAGAGGCTGCTGTGTCTCCGGGAGGCTCTGTGGTAGGCACCTTGGCAGGCTCAGAGACAGGGGCCTCGGAGGCGGCTTTTCCTGTCATTTCCGGGCTGGCTGGGGGTCAGGCTGGATGGATGGGGTCAGCAGTGGAGGGTCTGGGCCTCCAGGGTGCCTGGGACACCTAGGTCCCAGCTTATATAGTCAGAGTTAGCCCCACCCCCAACAAACCATTCCCAGCTGTGGGGTCAGGTCAGGCAGGGGGACAGGGTGGGGAGGTGCCCAGGCCAGGAATAGCTCTGGGGGAGGAAAGGCCCCTTGAAGAGCTTGCTACTCGCCAGCACCCCGATTGGCCCTCACGGCCAGGGTGCTGGTGCCCGGATGGGGGAGGGCACAGATGGGTGACTGGGACATGCCCAGGACCTGTGCCAGGGGTCGGGGCCCCAGAGACAGCTGCCACTTGGAGAAGGACATGGGTCAGCTCTATAAGTCTGGCCTTCGCAAGGCCTGGGGCTACTCAGACTGGGGGGCCTGGGGCTCAGATGGCCTGATCCAGACGTCCCTTTAGACACTCCCTGCTTTGTCTTTAGGGTCTGCTCAGCCCTGGTGCCCAGAGCCCCTGGGGACTCTCACTATGCTGTGTGAGGTTGAGGACCCTAGCGGGGAACTGGGGTACCTGAGGTGGGGACAGAACACCATAGCTTGGGTGAATCACAAACAGTAAAGCTTGATTTGCTTATGGTTCTAGAGACTGGATAGTCCAAGAGCACAGCGCCTACATCCAGCGAGGAGCTTTGTGCTGTGTCCTAACACCGACAGCAAGACCCAAAGGAAACTTGCCGAAGAACTTTTCATTAGGGACCCACTGCCGAGACCACAACCCACTCCAGTGATCACGGCACTAACCCGTTTATGAAGGCAGTGCCCCTTGGCCTTACCTGGAAGGCAGCACTCTGAAATGCCCAGCTTCTTTTCTTCATAACCTGCCACAGACCTGGGCTCAGATTGTCCCAGTGTGGGAAAGGATGGGAGTATAGCCAAGTTCCTGGCCACTGATTCATTCATTCTGGAATGAATCAATGGGACAGGGACTAGACTGGGCACCAGTAGCTTACAAATGTAACCCTATCTCCTCAAAAGGCTGCGATTCGGAGGATTGCAGTTTGAGGTTAGCCTAGGCAAAGAAAAGTTTTCTAGATCCTGTATCAACTAGGCACAGCAATGTGTGTCTTCCATCCCAGCTGTGTGGGAATCAGAAACAGGAGTGCACAGTCCAGGATAGCCAGGACAGAAAGCAAGACTCCATCTCAAACACAACCAGAGCTGGGAGTGGAAGTATGGTTCAAGTGGTAGAGTGCCAGCCTCGAGCGAAAGGTAAGCCAGAGGGCAAGGCCCTGAGGTTAGCCCCACTACCGGCACCAAAACAGTAACTCAGCAATGCTCACTAAGCACTATGCTGAAAACGAGCTACTCAACTTGGAGGAGGAGGGAAGTCAGGAGGGAAAAAACTGGGAGACAATGAGAGAAAAGATGACACTGTTCACAAAGAAATGTATTCATTACCTGACTTAGGTAACTGTAACCCCTCTGTACATCACCATTACAATAAAATAATAATAACAATAAATAGCCAGAGGAAAAAAGTGCTGGAGGTGCCGGGCGCCTGTGGCTCATGCCTGTCATCCTAGCTACTCAGGAGGCTGAGATCGATGGTGGTTCAAAGCCAGCCCGCGCAGGAAAGTCCGTAAGACTCTTATCTCCAATAAACCACTCAAAGCAGTGGCTCAAGTGGTAGAGTGCTCGCCTTGAGCTGAAGAGCTGAGGGACAGCGCCCAGGCCCAGAGTTCAAGCCCCAAACTGACCAAAAAAAAAAAAAGTACCCGAAGCATGGTCTTACCTGCTTAGCAAGCAGGTAGCCCTGAGTTCAAATAAAAGTACTGCCAAAAACAAATTGAGAGAATGCTTAGATAGGTAATCATTTAAATTCCAGGGAGCAGGGGACATGATCAACTCTGCATTGTACGTGTGGATCGGAGCGATGACTGGAACGCGGGACCTGACTGTCACCGCGTCCTCATCCCTGGAGACGCTCTAGGCTGTCCCTGGAAGATGGAAGACAATACTTGTGGAGGTGCTGCTACGTGTGTGGGGAAGGAGCTAGACACCTGCCGTGCGCCTATGCGACGTTCGAGCACAATGTGGGACACAAATGACAAATGTCAGCTACGTTCGGTGTGGCTGAACAGAAGCAGCAAAACACAGCAACCCCCAACCCAGGCCACTCCAAGGTGCGTCCACGCATGGCAACCTCCAAAGAGCAAGGCACAAAGGGCCACTCTGTGAGGGCCACTTGGTGGAGGGACAGGCTTCAGGGGATCAGCAAGGTTTTATTTTCTGCCCTCCATCCAAAATAGCAAACACATTTTATGGACTCCTTAGTATGTAGTGTATCCTACAATTTAAAAATAAACAATGTTTCCAGACTCTGTGACTCACAGCTATAATCCTTGCTACTCAGGAAGAAGGGATAGGGGGAATAGCTGTTTGAAGCCAGCCCTGGTAAAAAAAAAAAAAAGTAAAAAAGACTCCATCTCAATCGGCAAACCAGGCATGGTGTCACACACCCATCATCCAAGCTACCTGGGAAGTGTAAATGGAAAGATCACAATCCACGCCTGGCTTGGGACCCTGTCACAGAAATCATTAAAGCAGAAGAGTTGGGGATTTGGCTTAATGGTAAGATTACCTGCCTAGCAGGTTTGACGCCAGTACCACATATACAAATAAAATAAGCAAACATAACTTATTTATGGTTCCCAACATCCTGCGGTGGGAAGTGACAGGTGAGAGTCCAGCCCTCCCCGGTTACCCTGTCCTTTGCCAGGTGACTCGGTGTCCTGCTGATCAGGCCCTAGAGACACGATCCTTGGCCTCTGACTCTGCAGCTATAAGCAAATGTGACTAGCTCGGCAGACCCTGAGTCAGCCCAGAGAGCCTGTCCCAAGCCGGAGGGAAGGAGGGCTGTGGGAGGGGGCTGGCTTCCCGTGGGGGCTCACAGCTCTGGCTTTCAGAGCCCCTGTGTGGTAGGGCAGGCGGTGGGCAGAGCTAGGAAATACTAGGCCCAGTCAGCAGCAATAACATACCAGGTCCCCCCCTGAAGGCTCTGGCCAGGTTCCTTGACTTCAGCAAGGAGTTGTGACCTTGGCATCTGCTGCATTTGCCCAGCTCCAGTGGGTTCGGATTTCAGGGCAGCAGGTTGGCATTTGCTTCACCACCCCTCAAACCAGTTCATGATTGTCCCAAGTCACAGATCCACCCAACCCAGGGGGAATCTAGAGGTTAGTTCTCCTTAGCTTTGGAATCTGTGTCTGGGCTGGATTGGATCAAGTCATGTCTGGGGCTGGCAAGTCTCAGCAGCGGGGGTGGGCATGGGGATGGGGGGAGTGTATCTCCACCTCTCAGGCTGGGAACCTTCTGAGCTGACCCTCTCCCATCCGTCCCCCAGCTCCCACCGCTCAGGCCCAGGCTGCTGGAGCAGAGCCACTTCGACCTCTGCATGGGTTGAGGGATGAGCAAGCACAAGCAGGGGCCTGGGGACAAGGTCAGCACTGGGCAGCCTACAGCTCCAGCCCAGCATGCAGTGGGCTGCCCGGGGGTCACTGGGAGGATTGGTAGTCTAGAAGGCCATCCTAGAGGAGGCCATCTTTCCCTTCAGTACTAGAGGATCTGGGGTTCAGTGGTCTCTGATCCAACCCTGTAGTCAGCACCCACCAAGTTCTAGAACACTTTCAGGCTTAGGAGATGCTCAAGGCAGGTGAATCTGAGCTGCTGCTCCTGCTCGGGTTCCCTGGGGGGCCCAGCAGAGGTCATGGTGGCCTTGGCTCTGCAAGTTCAGGGCTCCTAAGCCTCAGAGAGGAGAATCTAGGAAAGGTAGGGGAGCTGGGTATACTGCGTCACACCTGTAATCCTAGCCACTCAGGGGGTTGGGGTGGGGGAGGTAGGAGAATTGCTGTCTGAGGCCAGCCCAGGCAAAGTTAGCAGAGACCCTACTTGAAAAATTAAAAGCAAAAAGGCAAAAGTGTGGCTCAAGAGCTTGTCTAGAAGCTAGGCGCCCATGGCTTATGCCTGTAATTCTAGCTACTCAAGAGGCTGAAATCTGAGGATCCAGTTCAAAGCCAGCTCAGGCAGTGAGGCTCTTATTCCCAATTAACCAGGAGACAGAAATGGAGCCATGGCTCAAGTGATAGAACTCTAAGCTTCAGCAAAAAAAAAAAAAAAAAAAAAAGCTAAGGGACAAGCCCCAGGACCAGTAGAGAGGAAAAAAGAGCTTGCCTAAGAAGAGCAGAGACCCTTAACTCAGTCTCCCAAACTGCACAAGGAAAAGGAAGGAAGGAGAAAGAAAAAAATAGAAAAGTAAGAGGATGGGGGCGAAGAGGCCAGAGGTCCAGTGTGCCCACCGAAATAGAAGCTCGTGGCACCTGCTGTGGAGCTGGGGTTCTTTATTGAGCAGCTGTGGAATTAGGAAAGGGAAGTGAGATGGGAGACGCGGTTATGTTCCTAAGTGGAGGTTTCAAGTTGGGCTTTGCAGGGGGTATAATTAGTATGGCCACTGCCTCTCCCGGGATGCGGGCCTACATGGTGTCACAGCCTGCCAGATGGTGCCCTTTGATCGGCGCGCTGGGGGTGAAGGAGCTGAACAACCACCTCGGCCAGACCTGGAGTGTGAGCATTCCCTCTCATCCCCTCCAGGCTGGTGTCTTACACTGCACCGGTGTGGGAGGCCCTCGCTCACCCCACAGACCCGTGCTACCTCCCTGACCATCGGGGCTGAGCTCCAAGCTCAGTGCTGTCTGTGGCCCTCTGCGTGGCTCCCATGGGAGGGAAACTGAGGCTCAACTGGGGGGACATAGCAGGGCACGTGATGTGGATGTTGGGCAGCTGGAGCCGAGGATGTAGAGCCTCCGTGGCCTCCGCTATATTGCAGAAGGAGCAACTAGGCCGCAGCAAGGGCATCCTTGATGGCGTTGGTGAGCGGGAAGCGGAGATTCTGGCCACAGAAGGAGCCCCGGAAATCATCCAAATCCAGGGCCCACACCATGGCGCCCGCCAGCTGCCTGTTTTTCAGGTACTGCACCTGGTGGGGACAGTCAGGGGGTA